TCCAGCTTCAGAAATCAGCAACTTTGTCATCTTTCCAAAAAAAAATATATATATATATATATTTGCCCCATCCCACCCCTGCCCTGAAACACTATATTGTGATACAAAATACCCAGAGGTGCAATATTGCTGTACCAGTTAGTGCAACATTAAAATCACTGTGGTTCATTAATTCAACAAATAATTTTCAGTGTCTGCTAAGTGCAAGGAACAGTGCTCAAGTAATGCATAAACAACTGTAACACAAAAGGGCAGCTTGGCAACAAGTTTTATGCATAAATCATGTGTGTGCTGGAAGTTAGGCTTTCTTCATGTTTGTACAGCCTTGCGTTTCAATAAATGGAAAAATGCCAGACAAGTTGGAATTGCAATTTTTTCTAAATCCTTGGGGCCAGCCAAGGATTTAAAGTTAAAATCAAAGTCGTACACTTGTTCTTTTTTCAAAGACAAGGTCACAGCCAACAGGGCTAGCAGAAGACATTTCCTGAAAAGATATAGGGACCTACCTGACACCATTTATCTGTTGGTTGCCTTACTTGAAGTACCATGTAAAAAGGTAAATTGAAATGAGATGGGATAAAGACGCCCCCCCCCTCAAAAAAAAAGGTGAAAGAGAAAGGAGACAGGTGTCTGTTGCCTCTGGAAACAGTGCTAAGGGATCAAGGAACCTCTATAAGAGTAAACCCTACTCAGTTCCTTAAAATAAAATGAAAAGGGCCTCACAAAAGAAGACATTTTTTTTTTCTCATTACTACCAGAGATTGCTTTAAATCAAATAAAACACATAAATCCAACATCTCAGAATAAAATTATCTGGCCTATCATGTACTATATTTTGTTTTATTTTGTAAGTTGAAAGCCCATGTGACGTGATGGAAGGGAAATTGGAAACCGGCACCCTGGCCTCAGCTCTGCTTATCAGAGAGTCGTATGGCCTAGACAAGGGCGATTGTTTTCCTGTCTCTCTTCCTCGAATTGAACCACACCAATCTTTTCTATCAGAACAAAAGTCATCTATGTTTCTTTATGTGCGAAGATTCACTGGTTCTTTCTTTAATCAGCTAAATCATCTAAACACCTCATTTTTGCCACCCTACCCTACCCCTCAAGTCTTCTAAGTATCACTCATTAAAAGAACATTTATTTTTCGATTTTGAAATTTTATTTTTGCAACCTGTGCTTTGTTTTCAGAGTGAAGAAGACCTCCACGAATACCAGAACACATCAGGAAACAACAACTCGCTAAGAAGTAGAGTTGCGCAAAACAGAGAACACGTAAATGCCAAACAGGTATGGCAAGAGAGCCTTTAGTGAGTCTATCGCCATGGTAACCACTGTGCAACAAGCCCCTGACAGCTACAGGGACAGAAAGCATGGCGGGCAGCTGGCACTCAGAAATGAGTTAAGTGATTATCAGACTCTGTACGGCCGAGTCATAAAGAAAACACACACGCCCCAACAGAGGTTTTGTGTTTATACACCTGTCCTCAGAGTTCTTTGACGGAGAAAGCTCCCAGGCTTTCTCTGACACTTCACTATTACAGATTTCAAGCTCCATTCTAAGGCAGAAAGCACTGGCTTAAACAAAAGCATGTCAGTTTTAAGGTAAATGAGGAAGATAAGACAGGTTCTAAGATACGGTTCTAAAACTGTGTCCATCACTCCCTAGGTTCCTCAGTGACACTTAAGTTACACGGCAGGCTGAAGCGCTCTGTCACAATGCCACTTTTATTTCTTTTATATATTGAATTCTGGGTAGGTTCTCATTTGAAGAAAGCCTCCCGCTGTTAAAAAGCAAGTAAATTTTCTAGGTAGATCATCCTTTTTTATTTTTATTTTTATTTTTTTTAGTAATTCTGGGTGCCTACTAGAGGCATTTATTAGGGGGAGTTATTCTTATGATAAAAAGAATAACTCGTTTGAAGTAGAAATTCTGGAAAATTATTGCAGCAAAATTTGGAAGATAAAAAAAATAAAAAGACCTATAATTTCAGAAAAAAACCAAGGCCTAACTAATTTTGTAATAAGTTCCTTTAAGGCAAATATACATCCACATGCACGTGTTATATTAGGATTCTGCTGTACGTATTATTACTGTCTGTTTCATTTGTAAAAATTGTAAAAATGTCCATTCCACTAAATATTATTCAGCAACAAAAGAGAAAACAATACTTCTATCTACATAAAACCTGCACATGAATATTTATAGCAGCTTTATTCAGAATTGCCGAAACTTGGAAGCAACGAAGATGTCCTGCAGCAGGTGGGTGGTGAAATGAACCGCTGTGCCTCCTGACAATGAAATACTCTTTAGCTCTGAAAACAAAAGGGCTGTCAAGCCATGAAAAGACCTGGGGGACATGAAATGAATATTACTGAGTTAAAGGAGCAATCTGAAATGGCTACATACTGTATAGTTCCTACTACATGAAAATTCAGGAAAAGGCAAAACTGCGGAGACAGTAAAAAGCCCAGTGGTCCCCACAGTTGGGGGGCAGGGAAGGGAGGGATGAATAGACTTTCAGGGCAGTGAAAATCCTCTATGTGATACTGTAATGGTTGATATATGTTATTAAACACTTGTCCAGACCCACAGAATGCAAAATATCATTAAACAAAAACCTTCATGGACAAAAGATTTTCTGAAGTAAAAGGTTTATTTGGTCAAACACTAGCCAGAAAATGACCGGGTCTTGGGGCATGCAGTCTAAACAACCAGAGTAGAGATAAATGGAGAAGACAATATGTCCACCGTCCTGGGATTGATGGGGCTCTTTTATACAATGAGTTTGGAGAAGAAATATGTAAGTTGTTTTTAAAGAATTTATACTGGCTATAGACAAGGAGGGCAGGAGGAGGTGAAGCAGATAAAGTTCTGGCATAGGTGCATAGTGCATAAGGAAGTAGTGTTTGCTGCTTTGGGATTGGTTGTGGCAACAGTCCAGAAAGTTCACGAGTACGCTGGATGCAGTGGTGTCTGGTGGTCAGCTCTTCTCTCTAGATAGGAACTGAAATAACTGCTCGGAAGTTGATTTAGAGATTCAACATGCATTCAGGAATGTGAATAGTCTTTTGTTGATCTCTACCCTTGGCTCTGTTAACTAATTAACTTTTTGTCTCTTCTTCCCACCCTCCAGCCTGCTGAATTTAATTTAGGATGTCTCAGAATTTTTCTCTTGTCAGCACCAAGAGTGAACCCTAATGTAAACTATGGACTTTGTAGGTTCATTAATGATAACAAATGTACCACTCTGGTGGGAGAAGTCAATAATAGAGAGGCTGGGGGTGGGGTGGTGGAGGGAGCAGATAAAAGAGAAATCTCTGTACCTTCCCCTCAATTTTCTATGAACCTAAAACTGCTTGAAAAAAGTCTTTTTTTTTTTAAATTGTTTCACAAAAAAATCAAAAGCAAAAGCTAGATACTTTACTATTATAAACAGGAATATGAAGAGCAGCTATTGGGTTTGTTCTTTGGGTGACCTTGGCAGAAGGCACCTCAGTGGAAGCCCGCTCACAGTGGGTTGAACAAGCAGGATGGGAGGGAGTAGTCACTAAAAGTAAAGGTGACTCTTTCAAGTGTTTTGGTTGTGAAGGGAAGGAGGGTAGATGTCCCACGACTATGGGATCGAGAAAATCGTGCCATTATTTTGTTTTGTTTTAAAAGTGGGAACAGGTTGGGGGAAAAAAGAAAACAAGAGTAATGCTAGACAGTCCATAGATAGTAGGTAACTTGGGGCAATTTCACTGTAAAAAAATAATTATGATCATTTAAATTGAGTATTTACCAAACTTTATTGGCCAAGCTAGGGGTTAGATGGAAAAAAAAATGCATAAGGCTCGTCTCTATGTGGCCTTGTGCTCAGCACCTGCAGCTTGGACTCATCTGGTCTCTCTTACAATTATCTTCTCTCCTTCCTTGTTCCTGGGGTTCAGCCCCCCAAAAATGAAAGTAGTCTGAGTCGGAAGTGGAGTTTCGCATTGAAGGACTATACAATCTTTACGGAATCTTTCAGCTCAGAGACACGCTAATGTGGGATATGATAGAAAACAAAAGCTGAGATTTGGCCTTATACCTCTTAGTGCATGTTCAGAATCGCTCCATACCCACATACTTCCTTCCTACCCTCCCTCGTTATTGCTTACAGTAGCTGGACCTATTTAAGACATTATTGCAGAATGGAGGGAGAAAATCCTCTATCTCATCCTGTTCTCAGGGCTATGGATATCTAAGAGCTCAAACGGTACCTAGAAAGATTGCCCATAAAAGATGGCCCAGCTATATATTTCACTTATTAATTAGAGCAAGGGCTAGCTGAGAAAGGGAAATATTTCCCTGTAGCCCTACTGATAGAAGGACCCCAGTTCCCAAGGAGACGTTTATCAGCTCTTGAAGATGCTGAGCTAGTGTTAACATCTGCAGACCAAGCCTTGGGCTGCCAGGAACATAAAACCAGCCTCGGTCTCAGTCCTTTGGAAACCAAAGCTGGCAGAGTCTAAAGGGAGATTTATGCAGGCTCTGGTGTTAACTTCATTTAGCACTTGCCTGAAAACAGAACTGGGGTCGAATGATTATGGTAGAGACGGAAGCGAAAAAGCCGAGATATGAGCCTGTTCCCTAAAGAAAAGGAGAAAATATCAACAGCTCCTTTGGAAGAAAAGGGAGAGATAAGTGTGATCCTGGATTTTTTGTGATAAGGCGGAAAAGGTCTGTGCAAGTGGATAGTAAGAGTTATATTCTTGCATAATAATTTTTGAAAGTTGTTTGCCAAAATTCTGATCAAAGGAGATCAGGGTCCAATATGCTCAGGATTCTTATTATTCCATCTCTGCTCCAATGTTTGATTTCCAGAGTGAAGAGCAGGTCACCATTGAGCAGGATTCTCCAAGAAACAAGGACAATGAGGACGGTGATCAAGAGACACATCAGAAAGGGTACAGGCTCAAGCCAGAGAAATAACCACACCTGCCTCCTAAACAAAATGGCTTTCCTGCTTTGTTTTATTCTCACCTGATTCTTAACATTTCTTATTATTTATTCAGGATGGTCACCACCACCAATATCCCTTCCCCACTACCCCCAACACCATTTTCAAAAAAATTAATGGAGCTCTAAGGTAATCAACATGGTAAATTCAAACTGCTGATGTCCCGGGAACCTAATATCTAGGCCAGTTTTTAATTACAGGTATAAATTACCAACTAAGTGTTCCAGTCCATATGAAAGTAGTTAATTTATCTTCTCAGTGTCAATCAGTAAGCAACTGGTTTCTCAAAACCTGATCCATTTTAGATCCCAATGAACTTACTCTTACCTTGTGGTATCCTGAAGGTATTCCAAGTCTTTATCACCTCATGAGGTAGGAAGGCAAATTGTATTATCTTTATTTTTTTGGACCAGGAAAAGGAAGCCCAGAGAAGTGACTTACTCAAGGTTAGTCGACTAGGGAGGAATAAAGCTGATTTACAATTTTGGCTTCTGATTCCTTGTCCATAGCAGTCCCCAACCTTTTTGGCCCCAGGGACCAGTGCTCCTATGAGAATCTAATGCCCGATGATCTGAGGTGGAGCTGAGGCAGTGATGCTAGCGCTGGGTAGTGGCTGCAAATACAGTCGCCCGCTGCTCTCCTGCTATGTGGCCCAGTTCCTAATAGGCCATGGACCGGTACCAGTCCACGGCCTGGGGGTTGGGGATCCCTGCTTATCCAGGACTGTCTGGCTTATCGTAACACTAAAAGTTTGTCAATTTTCTAAATTCCTATTTAAAATTTAATTTTAATTCCTAAGTCTCTGAAGAACTTGATTTTTATGTATCAGAGGATATCTGTGGAAATGCTCAGAATCAGGATTGATAAAACCTTGTCACATATATATCAACAAGAATAGTTACCACCTTAGAAACCTGAGTTTATTCCATCCTTCCTTGTATTCATGAATCTCTGACCCCGGAGGCTGAGAGACTCTCCCGGGTGGTCAGAGGTACTCAGGTTTCACTAACGTTAATGGAACTGAAAAAGCCACGAGGAGGTTAGGAGTGGCTCAGGCTAGATAACCAAATGGCAAAAGTGTCTATTTCTAGCTACTTTATTTTATACAGTGTCAGGTTGCTGTAATGGACTACACACATTCTCTGCAATTAAACAATCTGATAAATCCGACCTAAAGTAGATGGATGTGCCCTATTAAATGTTGCCCTCCACCACCGCTACTATTTGATGCCGAGGAAAATGCATCATCCTCTGTTTCCAAATTAGACCATGAAAAACTTAGTATTTACTGCACTCGTATTCCCTCAAAATCTTCTAGAATGGTGTTCTAATTCTCAATACACACATTCATACACATACATAATGACAAAAGTTTCGTGAAATAATAGCTACCATCGCTATGTGCGATACTCTATGTGATACACTCTGACATATCCTATTCTTTCTTTCAGTGACGGTTATCCTTCACAACTCACTAATGGCTCCCAACCCACAGCTGTAAAATACTGTTCCAGAAAAGCAATTTACACTCCCATTTCATTTGTCTAGTAATTCAGCAAGTGCCTGTCATGCACCCTTAATGTCCAAGGTGCCAATGCTACAGGGCTCACGGAGATCTATTCTTCGGAAGTTAGCCAGTCAAGGCCTTATAACAAAATACAAGAAAAAAAAAAAAAACAGCGGGAGCAAAGTGCCGAGGAATGCCTCTGTCGGAGGAGATGCAAGGCTTTATAGAAGCAAGGAAGTGCTATGCCCTGAAACTTGAAAGGGGCCGAGTCTTGGGCACATGGGCATGACTGCTAGGAGGAAGGGAACTAAAGGCATTACTACAGGGAGGGAGGTCTCAGCTGGAGGCCAAGTCATTTAAGGTCCTGGAGATCAGGAATCTTCTATACTGGACGAGAAATATTTGTTTTAGAAATCCTATCCAGTGGCCTGGAAGTGGCAGTGGTTAAATGTGCAGGTAAAGTCCTTCTACTCTGCCTCAAACGGGAGAATGCCTCTGTTAGATGTGGCATTGAGGAAAGAGGCACCTGCAGGGAAGCCAGGTTCCAGAGCAGGTGTGGAGGGACCAGGAGCATCCTAGGAGACGTAAAGAACAGTCATGGGTCCAGCCTTATGGCCTCTCCAGTCTCACTCACTGGTGGACATGATCTTCTCCGAAAGAAGTGCTCACATGCACATATTACTCACACACTACCCACCACCCCACAACAAAGCCCTAGACAGAAACAAAGACACACCAACAATTCCAGAATTTTCTGAGAAAGCTATATTACAGCCTGCTGGTTAACGGCTCTCAAATCCACAAAATCCTATTTTACATTTCAAACACCTAGTGAAGTCTGTCAGCTTTCCACTAAGAAGTATGGTCAGCAAGGACAGGGAACCACCAACTTACTCAAACTTTGTAGAACCAGAGGCATGATAGTTCATTGGATTTTTTTTAAGTTAAGTTTATTGGGGTAACATTGGTTAATACAATTATATAATTTTCAGGTGTACATTATAATTTGACATCTGTGTATTCTATTGTGTGTTTACTGCCCAAAGTCCAGTTTCCTTCAGCTACCATATATTTGATCCCTTTTACCCACTTTGAATGTTTGGTAGAATTCATGCATGCGATTTTCAACTTTTTCTGCCTGGCTTATTTCACTTAGCATAATTATCTCGAGTTCCATCCATGTTGACACAAATGGCAGTATTTCATCTCTTCTTACGGCCGAGTAATATTCCATTGTATATATGTACCACAGCTTCTTTAGTCATGGATTTTCTTTTTAATCAGCCTTTAATAACTGGCTTAAAAGCTCACAGAGGCCCTCATAGTCCAGTGAGAAACACTCTCATCCTCTGATTTATTTTCAGCTTTTGGTTCGTTATCCATCTCCCCTGCTCTATTTTCAGGAGCATGTTTTCTCCATCTCTGTAATCCCTCAGGGCTTGCACATCCATTCAGCAGAGGTCGATCTAAGCCACGGCTGAGTTTAGTCTAAAATGAAATGTTTCCCATTTCAATTTTGTAGAACACATACTTTGTGAATTTGTTCATTTACTTGCTTTATTTACAAAGCCTCATCTAGCCATAGCATGCCAGTTTATTTCACGTTTTTGGCGTTTACTTCCACTTGTCATTTTGCTTTTGTGTTGTGATAGGTACCTGGCAAGGAAGTATGTCACGGTGTGTGATTTTTGTAGGAAACACAAGACCATCTTTCGATACATCATCTGGGGCATCTTATTGGCAGGTAAATAACAAAAGGGCATGGGATACCAATGTCTCTCTTCAAGGGTCCCCCAAATATTATGCTGAGCTTTCCATGGAAAGAAAATAAATCTTCCTCTTCCTCTAGACCACACTGAATCATCCAGAGAGACAGAGAAGTAGATCAAGAAGGCACTGAGTTGTGGGTCTCAGGTTGGGGTGCCTATACAGACTGTCTCCCTGTCTGGTTTATGCAGCCAGAAGCTAATTTTTCAGGTTACCCATGCTCAAGGTCTTTGTTATTGTCAGGCGAATTTGAGAGTTGGTTAATGCAAATCAGGTGAATGGAAAACATGGCAGTAATCACAGGGTAGGAATCTAATTGCAGGGCGAAATACAAGCAATTAATACTTTATGTGGATACAGTGCTGGGAGTAGCCTAGAGTCATGTAGCCTATTCCTCTGGCCTGAGGGCATAACCATACTGTCTACAGTAAACCCTTGATTAGGGTTGTCCCCTAACCCCCAGCGCACAGGCAAAAATCTGCACATAACTTTTGATTCCCCAAATCTGAGCCAGAAGCCAGGAGAATCAATACCTTTTTGCCAGTGCTTGCTTTAGCACCTGGGTTTTATCTGATAGATTCTTACCTGCTTGCTGTGTCTGGATATCAGAAAAAGGTGGTTAGTACTAAGTGAGAGGCCCAATGATCAAGCATCGATTCAAGAATTCAGAAGGTTCTCTAAGAAAAAAGACCTAGCACCCTGTCCTCCTAGCATTCGTGGTGAGATTATTAGGAACTTGCTTTGAAAAAAAAACAAAAATCCCCAAAATATAGTCCTTATAATCAGAGGAGCCAACAGTCATATTAAGAATATCAAGAGCATTCTTCCATTCAATGGTTTGTTAACTGAACCTGCCCTCGGCTGAGCCAGGTCGATGCTGGAAGCAGGTCTTCAGGTGGTGTTGGTGATGTTCGCTGTCTGCCTTTGCTTTCTGGACAGGTTACTTGGCAATGGTGATTGCAGCCTGTGTGCTGGACTTTCACAGAGCCCTTCCTCTTTTCGTGATCACCGTGGCTGCCAGCTTCTTTGTGGTCTGGGATCACTTAATGGCCAAATATGAACATCGAATTGATGAGTTCCTATCTCCTGGCAGAAGGCTTCTGGACAGCCATTGGTTCTGGCTGAAGTGGTAAATGCAGTTGGTTCTCTTATTGCAGTTGAGAGGGATATTAGTTTTTTCCAACACTGTTCCAAAAAATTTGTTCTGAAATTCCTTCCTCACTTATGGGATATTGCAGCTAGAAACAACCTAGAGGATAATCTGTTAAAATGCCTTCATTTTACAAACAGAAAATCAAGACTTAAATAGAGCAATGATTCATTTGAGATGTATGCAAATGTTCCTATAAACTGCCTTAATTTCAAGAGCTATTAAATAATAAAATGTTGTCCAAAACATGTGACAGTTCTGACTTGGGGAGGTGGCTTCCTGCTGTGGCCTCAGTGGGAGAAGGGACCTGTGACTTATTAAGCCAACTTTTTCCTATGGGATCCTGTGTCCCACAGGTGACCACTCAGGGGTTTTCCTTCAGACTCTCTCTGTAGGACCTCCTCTCTCTCCAGGTGGAGGGACCCAGGACCAGTTTTTCCCAGCATGGCCCACACGGGATCTACCAGGAAACCTCACACATCCTTGGCCTAATAAACCAGGATATTGCAATCCTAACACAGCACCCTTTCTGGCTCTGTCATCCAAGCCATGAGTCAGCCTTGTCATGCCTGCCATATTCCTCAGGGAGTCAGAACCCAGTTTAAAGTCCAACTTAGCTCTCTGAGGCTCAGGTGAGGTCCTCCAAATGCAAAAAACAATTTCAAGTTCTCCCTTAAAAGGAAGAAGGTAACAACTCACCCATCTCCCAAAACAGAGGTGATGATTCCCAGTAGATCTCACGAAGAAATGACTAGACTTCCCTCTCCAAACATCCTTTTTCCTCTCTGACCCCTTTATATATCCTTGCACCAGCAAAGAGCCCGAGAGTTGTGGAGGTGGGGAGACACACTGCTTAATTTTTTGGCTATTTGCCTTTGTAGCCACAACCAAAGAAGGTCATTTGCAATTTCTAGAAGCACAACTTCCTGGTGTCAGGGTATGTTACTCTTGTTAATATTTTTTGTTTGGTGGTTTAAGCCTTATAAGATTTTGAAGTTAGCACAGGAAATGATGCCAATGCCTTCGGTTCTCTTAGGGTGATTTGGAGCTCACTGATCCTGGGGATCATTTTCTGGCTGGTCTTTGACACCGCCAAACTGGGCCAACAGCAGCTGGTGTCCTTTGGCGGGATTATCATGTACATTATCCTGCTATTTCTATTTTCCAAGTACCCAACCAAAGTAAGTATGAAATTGATCTTTATTGGGCGTTTTCCCTCTTTGTTTTCTCATCTGTAAATTGCTCAAAATAAGGAATGTGAAAGAATTTAACTGTTATTCAATATTTGTCTTCCCTTGCTATGATATTTGAAGTGACTAGGGCGCCCTTCCTTCCTCAGCAATTTTCATAGTACAGTTACTCTCTCATTTTTCATTCTCAGTAATTTTCTAGTTACACAACCAGTGAGATGTTCTCTCCTGTCAAGTCCATTTCTATTCGTGTACTCCACCCCCCACCCCTGTGAAACACACATTCAGAGAAAACTCATCCATTCTAATCCAGATTTCCCCAGACCAGCAAATAATCTAGCATTCTACCATTGGATTCTGCGGTTTATCAAATTTCCATTTAAAATTTAGGCTATTTTACTATACAACTTTGTCTTAAACAGTTTTGTTCATGTGGAATTCAATTCTCATCCTCGTTCTGTCCACTCGTAACCCACTAAATGAGCGTGGATTCTGAGACATTGAAGCTTTCAAGTGTGACTCATAATGGCAAACTCTGGAAAACTTACTGGCTGAAAGGGTGACCCAAGGGGAAAAAGTCACCCGATATGACCCAAAACCTTTGTCCTGTTCTGGTGAACATCTCCACTGTGTTCTATGTCTCCAATCCCATAGTTCTTTACAGGCCACTCATCTCTGCACCAAAAACAAAAGCAGATGATTGTCCATTACTGCTGTACTCTCCGGGTCTGCATTAGAGTTAATTGGTTCCTTTTACAGTGAAATGAGAGCCCCTCGACAGGATGCAATTTCACTTAATTCGCTTACAAATTGTCAGATCAACAAACCGTGGGCACAAAGAGAAGTCATGTTCTGCCTTTCCATTTTCCAGACAGGAGAAATAATGGCATGTACCTAATACCAACAGCACAACTAGGAAAACCAGATCCTTCCTCCTTTACCAGCCCTTCTAAAACTACTCTTATGTCCAAATTATTTTATCATGATATAATGGTTACATACTCTCCTGGGACTGAAGTCTTCAAATTCAGAATTAGAAAGAAGGAATGTAACCCTGAGACGTGTGGGTGTGATTCTATCAAGAGAGTCTCCGCCCTAGACTGCTTTGGCCTCCCAAAGAAGACGGGTCATAGGCCACATGTGTGACGTTTCCAAGGAAACAGTGATCCTCTGGGCATTGATGCTGAGTTCAGCATTCATTTTCTAATAAGATTTGTCTCTTCATCATTCTGTCTAGGTTTACTGGAGGCCTGTCCTTTGGGGAATTGGGTTGCAGTTTCTTCTTGGGATCTTAATACTAAGGACTGAGGCTGGATTTAAGGCTTTTGATTGGTTGGGCAAACAAGTTCAGGTAAGGTGGGTTCAAATGAACACCTTGCTTTTACAGTGCTTTTACCATTTAGATACAGTTCTCAAGACATGTCAGAAATAGGTTTATTTGTCTGAATTAGTTTACCCAAATTTTAATTCTATAGCATGAGTTAGACAAATAATTTTGTTTATGTAGAGTATGTTAATCTGTCTAGTTTTTTAATATTATGGTTGTCACGTACCCATATCATCCACTGCATGACTCCCTATCCTGGTTACCCCTTCATTCCGCCCAAGGGGTATCACACTTTTAAGATGGTTCCACAAAGAGCGAAACAGGCTTTCTTTATATCTAATGGTGATGAGTGCCACCTATGTGCCATCTATGGCTTGCTGGAACAAATAACCATACCTGGCTCGTTCTAGAGCATCCTAGAGTCAGACTGAATGTCAAAAATGACAGGAAATCTGTATGCAGGTATAGTTCAAAAATACACTTCCAGGCCATGCAGTAGAGGGGGAAACACTGAGAAAATTAACTTCCCAAGTCTATTTAACAATTTTGCTGAGTCCCTACCCTCTGCAGAGCCTGGTAGTACTGTAAATTGTAACCATTGGTTCAGTGGTTTTAATGA